CAGGTTTCGTAGTACATCCTCAACAGATAAGTTACAAGATGCAAGACAAACACGGCTTTGTTTTACACGTGTGCAAGAGGTGCATACAGAAGTGAACTGTGAACCAGTGAGCAAGTTCAGTGATAAGCTAAATGTAAACTCCAGGTCTGACTCCGAATTGTGTGACGATAACGGTGCGGTGAAGAAGTCTGTAGTTGCAACTGGTAAGCCGTTGTTGAATAGAGTGTCACAGAATAGAGTTACTGCTTCAGAGTGGAGTTCTGACTCCAGAAGTTTACAAGGTATAACTAGTCAGAGTGAAGATATAAAACCTTTTATGATTTTTGAGGAGGAACCAAAATTGTCTACTTCTGTTATTAAAGAGTTTGAAAATGATGAAGTTGACGGTAAATTGAATATTCGTGATAATGATCATGATACTTCACAGTTGTCTTTGGTTGATCATGATGAGATGAGGGATATGCCTACTACTGCTAAGTTAAATAAAGGTTCTGTACAACTACAACGTGAAGTAGAAATAAATGCAGTTGCAGAAGTTATGGATACTTGTGAGACCGTCAGTGTAATTGATCAGCGTGTAGCCCACCTATCATCAGATGATAGTGCTAAACCCGAACTAGTAGTGAAAGACAGCAGTGGTGGTAATCTTGCAGTTGGACAACTATCTGAGAGCCGAACAAGAACAGCTTCTGATCCACCACTAAGTTCATCACCTTGTGTCACTCAGTCATCGTTGGTGCTGTCATCCACAATGAAACAGATGCCCATCAACTCAAGTATCTTGTGCAATGACTATGGTAGTATCAGTTCGTTTGAAAGGACGAATATCAATGGTCAGTTTAGTGTGGATAAGCCAAGTGTAAAGGAGAGAGTTATTGTTAAATTGACTTGCACGAATAAAGGCATTTCTAGTTTCAAGTTACTATTTGAATGTTATTATCTTTGGTGTAAATTACTCTGTTTCTATACTTGGTTGATGAGATATGTCGTGTGTTTGTTGGTCATCTATATTCTACGATACAATGACATGGGCGTGTTGCCGTTCAGATTTGAGGATATAGCTGATAGAAGGAAGTTAGCAAATGAACTCTGCGACGATTTTCCAACCTAGAGCGTCAACCTGAGAAGGGTTGTAGGCGTACCGCTGTAAGTCCTACAATTCTTCAAAGGGTAGCGCATCAATGAGCAGTCCAATGTGCTTGGTGTGTGATTTTGTACATATGTTCATATTGTATATACTGAATTGATATCATCTGTCATCTAGCTGTTGGTAATTCTGTTTGTGTCCGGACGACTTCCACTTGGATCATCAACCTGAGAAGGAATGTAGGCGTACTGCTGTAAGTCCTACAGTTCTTCAAGGGTAGTTTGTCGTGCCAGAATCCACAACATTTGATGTGTTGATTGTACATATGTTTGTGTTAAATAGTTGTGTGAGTTCCAATTATTGTAATTGTTGGTTAATCTTGTTTGTGTCTGGACATTCCACAACTTACAATCGTCAACCTGTGAAGGGTTGTAGGCGTACTGGTGTAAGTCCTGCAATTCTTCAAAATAATTCCACCAAGACATGATCCGCGAGGTTATTTGTACTGTTTGTGTATACGTGTGGTGTGTCATATCAATTGTTGTTTTCGGATTCATTGTGTTTACTCGTTGTTTTCGTATCTTGTTTTTATTGCATAAATTTGTTAAAATTTTCGTCGTGATTACTTTCGAAGTTGTGTCCACTCTTCTACATCCGTGAATGAATTGATTGATGTTAAGGACAGCAGATGGGTCGTATACGCCGGGGAGGCTAGGCTATTGCTGAGAATGAAATGCACACGGAGATAATTGTTAGCTGCGGTCCGACACGCCGGGGAGAAAGAGTGTAAACGACTGAGGCTCGCATGCGTCACCGCTACTAGAACTGAGGCAGAAGCGATTTCAGTAATAATTGATAGTGAATATAAAATAGGATGCTTGAAGTGTATCATAAGGTGCTTCTACGGTCACGTTGCATTCTGCAAGAGTCATTCTAGTAGGTGGCGATTGTGTTGCAAGATGTCAAGAGGAGGTCTCTGTCTGGAGGCTCAGGTCGTCATTGATGTGTGAGATTGTGCTGTGGGTATGCTTGTGGTGTGTTGGCTTTTCTGTTTGTTTTCCATTTCAGCTCTGTCCGTGTGACCCAGGTTCTCGCAATGGCATCCAAGTCAACGTGCATTGATCGTGAAGGAAAAAAGGGTTGGATCCCTTTTTTGCCGGGGAGTGTCAATGGAGTTGAAGATTGAACGATCAATTCTTGGTTGTTTGCTTAAAATCAACTTCCCCAATTTTCGCGGAGGCATCAATACGACAGTCATCGTCTCATCGGTCGCTGTTCAGAAAGAAGAGTGAAACATCGTCAGAAGTAATACAGAGATTTATTATTGTAATATTTGTTTACAGACCTTAGTTTGCTTAGTTCGCTCATTCCTTTTATATGTTGGTGTAACAATACAGAAATATCAAACGGCAGATCGGTGTTTTGGTTTTTGCGTCCATTATAACTAAGCGTTTCTGAGAAATCTTCTAAGAACAGCGTGGGCCCGAGCGTAGCGAGAGCTGGGCATTAACGGTTTATGAGACGTGATTGACATACGCCTTCTGTCTCACTACTCGATATAATAATAGTTTGATAATTATTTATGAACGCAGTTAAAAGTATTTCATGGTCCACGAGTAGCACTTGTATCCAGCAGAGGCATGGTCATTTAGTGAACCAATATGACCAAGGTTAGATCTTTTTCAGTATATATATATGCACTTATCAACGCTGTGAAAGATAATGACGGATTGTTATCACAGCCATCGTATTCACTATGGAGGGTATATTATAACAGCCAAACTTCACAGAAAAATGTACAAGTCTTGCACGTCATTACATCAGTAATATTAGCGTACTAAGTGTGCTACGGCCCGAAGTGAATAATCTAGAGGCTTTACACTAACAACGTCGTAGCAAGTAAGTGTATTGAAAGACTGCTTGCAGACACTATGTATGACGACATTCAGTACAATGTCCATGAAGACTGATGATCTGCAATGAGGAAGACAAAAATTAAAAAATTAGGATACACATAACGCATAAGATAAGTATTTCTGATATAAGCATAAAACTGGGGCACTGTGGAAGAGAATAACTCCATTATGGATAATATTTTATTTTGATAAATCACACCATGTTATAAAGCAATATTGCCTGATGATGTTCAGGGCACAAAAAATTGCTCGTGATTATATGAAGCCAGTCACACAACTATTGCTTCATTCATGTATATGAGTATTTTAGTAAAGCGTGCTACGCGGATAAAAAATCACTCACCTCATTCACTACCATCCACACTATTACTTATGTCCGTGTTACTGACTTTTGGTTTGTTTTCTTCTTCGGTGTACTTTATCTGGATAATTAAAGAAATCAGAAAATGCATAGAGTACTTAGGAGACAGTATTAATAATTGTTTAAGCCAATTAACACTGGAGTGAGTTGTGTCACTAGACAGGTGCAGTGACAAAGCTGACTGACTGAGTTTTAACACAGAACTCAGCACAGAAGTGCAGCAGTTCGATTTGTTACATTCCGCTCTTGAAAAATATTATATTCAGTTGGTAATAAGCACAACATATTTCATCAGATGTGTTTCGACTTTGCATTTGGGCTATGGGATAAAATAAACCAAACAAATTGTGAAACTCATCCTGAGTATGAGAAGAGATTACTTTAAGATAGCTCATTTTCATTTCAGCAAGTGTTGGGTGACCACTTAACGAAATCCAAATCTGTAGACGGAATGCTTTAGATTTAGTAAAACATATGCTTCCGATTTCACTCTGAAGTATCCATGCAAGCTTCATTAATGTAAGGACCTACAGAGTTCACAAAATAACTCATAACGCTGTAGTGGAAAAATTATATTTATCACCACTGAACTTAATGTAGAGTGTTATTTAAAGGCTAAACGTATAGATGTTCGCGAACAGTACTGAGTATATTAACCCAAGATCCTATATCAACAACTTCTAACTTATTTGATTCTCGTGTACCAAGGACAAAGCAAAAGACCACAATCGATTGTCCAAATTACGAGATGTATTTCGGAACCAAATCAAGGACTGAAGCGGAAGCAAAGCTAGCCAGTTATCGTGCACGAAAACAACACGACGGAATACCAAATGGCGGGGATGCTTGACGGGAAGCCTTCAGCTAAACAAGTCGACTTAAACTCTAAGGGTCAGCATCCAATGTTCACTGATGATTCTTATGGTCACGATGTAATTCTTCTCTTAGACATAATCTATTCCTATGGTCAATAATTTTGGGGAATTATTTACCTCTACGGCTTTATCATACTGACAACTTATTAATATTATAATTACTATTATTATTATTACTACCGATATAAATATTATTCTTCAAACTTAATGAGCTGACTGTTGTTACGCTTTCCTATTTCCGTTTCTGTCTCTTAGTCTGAATAACTTCACTAATTATATCTGTTATTATTATTGCTATTATTATTATTACTATCTCTTTTCTCTTGTCGACGATATCGAAGGACTAACTGGCGAAAGGATCAACTCCAATCACAGTAGTAACAGTCTTAGCATAATTAATCCCAGCACTACTCCCTTTGGAGTCAACCAAAGCTACGACAGTCAAGTGGCGGGAGAAGCTACTCAGAAGTTTACCGAAGATCAGGAACCTATACCTTACAATCAAGAAGCGAGCACAAAGAAATCAAATTGGTTTATACTAGCTCGTAAAAACGATATTGAATATTGGATACTGAAGAGACGAGCAAGGCATCCATAATCTTTTCCTACATGCGGAACTGCAGTGTAAGTCGATACGCAATACTATTTAAACGAATAAAATGAAAAATGAAGTCTTCATCTGCCTTTTGAACAACCATATATATGAGGAATTTTAACCCAGTTTGGCAACAATATGAGAAAGCAAAACATACACCACACTCATGGTCTGTGATACGACTGGCATTCTCACTGTTATTCTGCGAGTTTTTCGATGCTGTTCGGCAGTATCATTTAATACAGGAGAATCTGGAAGGCAAGAGAAGTTATCAACACATTCATTGAAATATAATCTTCAAGGTCGCCGTGCAATATTTCTGAAGTACTTTTTGAAATGGTTTCTCAACAAGTGGTTGGTAGAGGATAGAGGCACAAATCAGCTGATTGCTGCAGTTTTAAGGTGTTATCGTGGTGTTGTGTTTAGGCTATTCTACGTTGTTTTTAGTGGTTTTTTCGACAGAAATGCATTTTAAAAATCATATTTTAACGAAAAAACGTGTAAAAAGTGAGAAAAGTAATCGTTTTCATTGTGTTAACGAAATGCTGTCTTTTCATCGAATCGACATCCCGAGATGCATAAGAAATGAAACAATTCATTGGAAAATGTCAATTATGATAGAAAATGCTAAATTATTACAAATTTTGAAGTTTATTTTACGCATATGATGAGAAAAGGGTTAAATATCGAGGTAATTATAATTTCATGACTTTTACCAAATTGCTCAGAAATAAAGGAAATCGAGTTGGTTATTTCGTCAGATAACGGTGAAGAGATAGTCATTTAACTAGTACGTACTGTATTATATGTTTATTTATTTAACTCATCACATCTTGACTGAATGTTTATTTTTAATTTCCAGATTATGGTCTTCAATCCCGCAATCACTCAATACATTTAGACATTCTAATTGGGATTAAAAACGATAATATTTGTGCAAATGATGGAATTTTTGTGATATTATTAATGTATTTATCGGAATAAATATTGTTTTACAAATTTTGCTCCATTAATACTTAGTGTTTGTCGAGTTGCAAAGTTATGCCAATGTAGAGGACGTATTATTCGTAAAATGGCATATTCACACGTTGCTGAATTTCATCACGATGGGGTACTGTTATCGCTTTTGAGTAATTGCTTTCGCTAGTAAATCTTAAATAGACGTTATGCACAACAAAAGCCTATTTAATGCGTCACAGTATTTCATGATAGCAAAATAATCAACGAAGTTTAGTGACGTAGTCAACTATTTAGTTGCATTAATGCACGAGTCTAAGTGTTGGTGTGATCATGTAAGAGCCTTTTGATACGAAATGATAACACAAGAAAAGTAATGTAGTTTTCTCCTTATTACCTAATGATACCCTTCGAGATAGTGGTGTTAAACGCAACATAATAATAACAGAGTATCTGTGATAAGTGGGACACACGTCGCATTGTGTACTTGCAGTGCCTGGACTACTACTACATGTCGTCTGCATATAGAACCTACGTTTGCTAGACTTTGTTTCGTTATTACAGTACGAACACATATTTGACGGCTACTTTCTTAACAATCTTGAATATTAATCTTATACGCAACTGAAACACTTTACGCAAGGCTTAATGACGCATAGAGGAAGTAATAACAGTTTACGACTGACGCATTTCACATAAGTATTAAAACGTTGCCTATCATTCTCGTTAACTCTGCAATGTCCTCAAAATAAGTAAAAGAGACAAAGTTAGTCGACATAAATGCATATATTTGTAAGGAAACAATAATCAATCAAATTAAAAATGACTCATAATAAAAGAGTACATATATACACAAAAAAGAGTTAATAACAATCCAGTGAAAAAATCACAGTTGTAGACTTTTTATAGCTGCATCGTAGTCATCATAAAGTCCACCAAACACTCTAGCCGCAACATCTGTGTCAGTTTGCCTCCGTTGTTAGCGGTGTTGGACCAGTCTTTGCAGTTTTCGTCACCACCAGTTCCGTTCGCAGAAACTGGATGTGAACTTTTCAAGCAGAGATTGAGATTATATTCCTTCGACTGCCTTCGGCCGTATTGAGAAATATCTGAGGATGTATACACATCGGGTAAATTAATCTTACCTTTGGTGAACAATTCCTAATCTTAGCCACAGTGAATATGTGAACAAGGCAAAGAACAACCACAGAGTTGGTGAAATTCTACAGATTAGTCGTCCATATATTCCACGATAGATTTCAGGAATCATGTAACTTCCAAATCACCAGTTACACTTTTTCTTCTATAAAAAGCAAATATTATACAAGTGACTCTTACCCATCCGTTACAATTAACTGAAAGACATAAAATCTCCAAACTTTAAATTTCTGTGATTAAGTTACCCAGTAGTATTCTCCTTGTTACTGGATCTAATGCTTCTCATATCTGTGAAATTTATAAGCATGTTAACTTGTTCCCTTAAGCTAAAAAATATAATGTTTATCCGCTTTTATTATTGCTATTTCAAAGCCCGCCTCAGTAACGTAAGGCACGTATAAACCGCAACGTTTACGCAAAGGAAAATCTACCAATCACAGTGTGCGTAAGTGACCTTCAAGTGCTCAGCCTCTCCATAAGCCATTTGTGCCACTATCCTCTATCCAAGTGGTTTTATAGTATGTGGATGTCGAGTTCTCTAGTTTTCATTTTTTTCTTGGAGAATTTATGCTTTGGGTAAAACTTGTTGCTTATTCCGTTTGAATGCTTTTGGTTGCATACACATGACTAGAAGCGAGTTCCTTCTTTGGGGATGTGTTAGTAACCATTCAGCAACAGTCTGTGTACTCGATAATCAAGAATCAGAGATACTGTTACCGTCACTTTATTTCTCATCATCTCTTTCACCAGTTCGTCACTTTTTAAATAAAAGACGACAAGTTCTAAGGGAGTGATTTCTTCTCAAAGTTAAACCCGGCCATGAGCCGTGTCTCACGTCCCATTGATGGTTATTAAGTGACAATTGGGATTATAATTCAAGGCGATAAGGTCACATCAGAATACAAAATGCCAGATATCATTAAATACTCCTACAGATATTGCAGGCAGACTAGTTTAATGTTTAGAACTGTACCAACTGTGGCTTCGGAAGAGACAGTCATCATAGCTACTACTTTGAAAGTCAACTAATTGTCATCTGCTCTAGTTCATACACAGAATCTTAACATGCATTTTTGTTGGGGGTATTGATGAACGTTAACACAACTTGTACGCTGAAAAGCCAACCGAACAAGTAACTAGTGGATATTGTTGAGTTACTTGTATAAGCTATAATGCTGTTGACATTTGGAATCCTAGTGGTTTCGAGTATAATTAAGCTCTAGCATGTTGCTATACTTCATTGTTGCAGTGCATCAGTGGTTCAGACACTTGACCTCCAAGCGATGGTCACTTAATCTACGGTAAAAATCTATGGTTAGAAACAATTGGTGACATGGCTCAAAATCGTTCTCAGTGGCGCAGATGCATCCACTCCCTGTGACTTATGATCTTCAATGAAACTGTTTTGTATTTCTTTATTACTCCTTTGTCTCACACCTCTGCTCACTGTTTCTATTATGCTTTTCTTGTACTTTCTTCTCTTGCTTCGCGTGCTACACGGAATGTGGCGACTTGAACTTCCGCACATTTGTGCAAAGTTCTATGTCGAAAACAGACAGACAGACACTTAATCTACTCCCCATGCAACCCACTTTGGATTAAACAGCAATGTGCTACCGTAAAATCCAACGTTTTAGTTAAGACGTGTAGCTACAGATAGACTGTTTGTTAGGTTTATCCTCCTCGAAACGTCCTTCATAAAAATCACATGGTAGTCATCTGCTTGCTGTTGTTTTGGAGTATATCTCGAAATGTAACTTGTCGGACTGATGCACTTGTAAAGTTAGGAAACAACGGTTGTAAGTCGATGACAACAACTCAGACTTAGCCTCTGCCATCAATATTTCAGGTGTTCCCGTCAGAATACTTCTTTCTTCATTCCATAATTATATGTTAGCTTGGCTTTATTTCTGTTTTTAAGGGTACGAGATTGGAGTGTTGTACCAGTGTCCAGCACTTAACGTCAGCATGTTCATTAGTATCGTATACAAATGGCTACCATTTAATGCTTAACACGTAAACAAACAATCACTTCATAAAATGAAACTACCCCAAATTCGTGTCTTACGTAATTTGCAATCCATAAATCACTTATTCTTACGTTTATTAATTAACAGGGTTCTTTTTTATTGGGGACCCATAATTCATCTTCAAACAATATTTTCCATATAGATATTTTGGTATAGTCCATTTCAAGAAATCAGTTACCTATAAATAGCTTATGAGCCACATTTATCGTGTATGGGGTGATGCTACTCAGCTGCTTAGGATGAAGTAGGTGGAGAGGAAATTTAAGCCGGAACCCACTAAAAATCAAGTGCTTAAGCCAATGTGCCACATTTTACATAGTATGTCTGGATTCAACATAGAACTTGGCACCGAAGTGCAGCAGTTCGAGTTGCCACGTTCCAAATAGCACACAGAGGTAGACAAGAAGATGAGTGGAGAGAATCAATAGAGTTTGACAAGTATGAGAGTGAAAGAGAATGGGTAATGGTAGGAAGGAATATGAAAGATTACAGAGACTGAATACATCTGCGCTGGCCATTGACAACGATTTTGAGCCATGTCACCTATTGTCTCCAGCCATTGATTCCTAGAGTCCCGAGGGCCCCAACCCGGGAGTCTGCATCTCCCTACCTGACTCAGTTTAACTGTTGCGGATTTCATGGATTGATGCCATGTTTTTGTTTGGCCACCACTGGCTCTTTTCCAACCTGAACCTATGTCAGCTAGCAATGCCCGTCGGGGGAGGCGGTGGTTAGGCATGCGCAGCACGTGACCTAGCCATCTTAGTCTATGTAACTTTATAGCCTCGTCGATTGATTTTCCCTCTTTGCCCAACACTCTACGCCTAACGTCAACATTACTTATCTTGTGAAACCACCTAACGTGAGACAGAGATCGCAGACATCTATGATCGAAAGCAGTCAACCTTTTCATGTCTTCAACGCGTATTGGCCATGTTTCAGAGCCATAGACAAGGACGGAGCGAACTGATGAGCAGTACACACGTCCCTTGGTTGATAACCGGATGTCACGCCTACGCCAGAGATGGTGTAAGTCAGCGAAAGCAGCTCGAGCTTTTCGGATCCGTGCTGAGATTTCATCGCCAATCAGTCCGTTGGTGCTAATACAACTTCCCAAGTAGGTGAAGTGGTCAACATGTTCTATCACTTCACTCCCTATCACTAAGTTAGGGGTTGACGTGGTCCAGTCCTGTAGCAGCATCTTACATTTTGCAGGGGCGAATCGCATGCCAAACATACGAAGATTGCTGCTCAAGGTGTTCAGAAGACTCTGCATTTTTTCAGCATCCTCCCCTAACAGGACTATGTCATCTGCATATTCTAAGTCCATTAGATTATTCCCTGGTAACAAGTCGATTCCTAAGTCACTACGTTCAGTTAAGGATACTTCCATTAGCATTTCTATGATGAAGTTAAACAGAAATGGGGAAAGTGGACATCCCTGTCGGACACCACTGGTTGTTACCAATTCAGATGACAATTCCCCATAAGCCCTTACACGACTACGTGAGTTTGAATAGAGTGCCTTGATTAGTGCAATGTACTTTCTTGGCACTCCCTTCACAGTCAGACATTGCCATAGTACCTTTCGATCCACGGAGTCGAAGGCCGCCTTCAAGTCAAGAAATATGGCAATTGTTGGACGCCGAAAAGTGTGTCTATGTTCTAGAATCTGTCGAAGAGTGAAGATATGATCTATGCACCCTCTACCTGGTCTAAAGCCTGCTTGATTTTCTCTTGTCTGTTCCTCCCGAGTTCTGCTTAGTCTATGCATGATTACTGAGCCTAGGATTTTAGAGACTATGTTCGTTAGGCTGATCCCCCTATGATTATCACACGAGGACTTGTTTCCCTTCTTGAATATCGGTATAATAAGTGACTTACCCCAGTCTGATGGTACTGTCTCTGATTCCCAGACTTTGCCTAGTACCTCAGTTAATCTACAAACTAGTATGTCACCCCCATATTTAAACACCTCCGGAATAATTCCGTCGGGTCCTGCCGCTTTGCCTCGTTTCAAATTACTGATAGCTTTTGTAACCTCACCTACAGACGGCGGACCAGTGTCTATATCCCATTCGGGTACGTGGTGGATGGCGGGGAGGTTCAGTGTGGCTGTAGGCAAGTTAAATTGTTCCTCAAAGTGTTCTTTCCAGCGTTCAAGGCGTCTATCCTGAGAGCTAATTAAGGAGCCATTTTTCTCAGAAATAGTCTCACTTATGAATTGCCTTCTCCCACCCGATTCTGTGATGAGTCTAAAGAGTTGCCTAGTGTTGCCTATCGCCGATGCTTTTTCCATCTCTTTTGCCTTTGTCACGGTCCTTGCGGAGACTTTTAGTAAGTTTCCTTTTGTGCAGCTTTCGCTCCTCATTGAATTCGGAGCTCGCCGGAATAAGTCTTCTAGCATAGTATAACCCATAATTTTCCACTACTGGGTGTAGTAAGGAGTAACTGTATCCATCTCCTACTAACAACACTTTTTTGAAAGGTAGTCATTGGCTTTTCTGTTACTATTTGTGTCGGTTTTTTCTCACTATATTCACATCATCTTTCGGAGTGAAGAGTTTCTTTTTATGTTTGTTTCCCTTTAATTACTTTTGTTTTCTATAAAAGTCAAATTTTATGTTCAGTCTTACTTGTTTTTCATTACAAGTAACAACGTCTGATGTTCAGCGTTAAAGTTGGTGCATATGGTATCTGGTATTAAGTGAACAGTGTGGTTGAAATGCTCTTTTAACTGAAAAGTAGGATACTGTTTATAGGAAACTAACTTTAGAAGTATTCTTGCTCTTCATTGGAAGTGTGAAGTTCATAATCACCATCCTTAGACATTTTTTAAATTATTTGTTGTGCTTTCTGTTTGATAATGACTTGGTTTTAAATTTGTATAGGTATCATCAAATTATGTCATCAAGTTCTCCCAAACCGCCCAAGTCTTCTACTCCCAGTGTTCCTCTGGATGACCAAGGAAAACCCTTAAAACCATGTTGCGCATGTCCAGATACACGTCTAAAACGTGATCAATGTATTTTGATGTATGGTGAAGAGATGTGTGTGGATTTGATCAAAGAACACAAAGAATGCTTACGAAAACTTGGTTTCGCTATATAGTTTTACCAATGTACCTCAGATTTTTTGAAATATAGTTAATGCCTTAATCCTGTATTTTGATTACTAGCTAAATTTCATTAGTAGTAACCCAGTGTTACTTTTCAGGATTCTACCGACCGTAAGCCAACTGCCCGGTTCCGCGTTACGGGTTCAATGCTCCCGAACTTGGTTGGCCGAGACGTGTGTGTATTAGGAACTGTCTTGCGTGTCGCGCCTTCAGGTCAACGAATTCACATACGCTGTGTAGATGGAAAGGAAATCGATTGCAATCTTATTTCTCCGCTTCAGGTATACAACACTGCCACATAACTGTTATTTATTTAGAAATTTATCATATTAATAACATTTATTTGTTTTTTTCCACTTTTAACTGGTTATACTCCTTGACAGTTCATATCAAAGCAAGATATAAACACTACGTTTTGACGCAATTCAATAATTGGTGTATAGAAAACCCATGACATTATATCACTGTTTAATTGCTTCGTATGATAATATACTTTTGTCCTTTGCCGTATAGGATTTTTATATATGCACGCCACATCTTTTCGGTCTTATTGACGGGCGAAGAGCTCTTGAACTTTCGTCCATTTTATGAGTCACGTAATTTACTTACATTAAGCATATTCCTTCTTTATACAACGTAAATTTTCCTTAAATTCCGCACAAAAACGTTTGTTTCTGTAATTTTTACTCTTGTATCACAAACGAACAAAGCAAAACATAAACTAGTACTGTGGAATTAGATTTGTTGTATTTTTAATGGAGTCATTTGTTAAGTTGATTCTCTGTAAATCTGTGAAAGGGTTCACATCTTTAAAAAAAATATAAACAAGATTTAAACGTTGACAGTACTCGCTGATTAAGAATTAATTAGTATTAGTGAAAGTCATATTCCCTGATTCCTTCAGTGAATCTATGATCTTTGTCGTGAAATTAACTATTCATAAGCAGATTAGACAGTAGTATGTCACTTTTCGGTGTAAAAGAAAGTAATCACATAAGGACAAGTTCATGTGAAGTAGAACTTAAAAAATGTACGCAGAGAATAGTAATCTTTTATATAAGTTATCAGAAGCACTCATTTTTCTCTGTATTCTAAGTGGGTTAAACAGGTTTATTTATTGTTATAAGTATATCATATTATAAGATCGGAAGTTATCTGTAGTTTTCCCTTTTTTTATAATCGAAGATTGTTTAAACATAGTTCAAGATGAAAAGAAAAAAAGCACATCAATCACTTCCGTATTATATAGTTAATAGATTTGTAGTCAAAGTCGTTTTTCATATATGTGTAAAACTTGGGCACTGTGGTAGTAAGTAATTCCATATTAGTTTGTTTATTAGATGCATCACACAGTGAAACAGTATTATTTACTGGATGACCTCTCGAATAAAATTTATTGTTCATAATCATATCAATTATATTCACACAACTTTGAAACTTGGGTTTTATAGTTTTCTTTGTCCTCTCCTATTTGTCGTAGAAGTAGAAGAATTTTCCAGACATCTGGGACAAGTGTTGAATCATTCCTATTACACGTATTTGCAGTTTATTCAATAAACAAAGCTTCCGTTATCAATCTCTCCGTCCACCCTGTGACATTAGATTTGAAAACTTTCATCTTATTCCATCGTATTGTATGGGGGTTTGTAACTGCATTTAGTGCTATGGCTGAACTATTCTCTAGATTTCTTATATTATTTGGACCAACTAATCTTGATTTTACCAGGTTTTTATACTCGGCTAGTCTGACTGCCCCTGTTCTACTACGTTGACCTATGTATTTGATCTGATAATCATTGCAGGGTATTAGATTTGCACTTCTGCACTATATAGTTAATACATTTGCAATCAAAGTCATTTTCCAACTATAGCTACTGGTTTTTCTTCTGTTAGTGTCTAAAATAAATACTTCCGTGTTTGTTATATGATTTAAACGACAACGTTTTTACAAACCAGTAGCTTCGTGATCTCATAAACAAGATTCAATACAGAGTCATTTTCAGACTTTTCTTTCTTTTCATAGACTTCACCAGAGAACCGAATTATTGAAGTTCAAGGCCGCGTAAGTAATGTACAAGGCAATGAAATCAATGCTACAGCAGAACCAGTCGTTTTTTCACAAGAAGCCAGTGCAAAGTTTGATTGTGAATTATATTCACAAGCTGTTCAAATGACTGCTCAATTCGATCAGTTCTACGTTCAACCAATGGAAACGTAATGCATTTTGAATTACAATATGTGAACGAATTAAGATGTTTTGTGTTATTTTCTTAATGTGAAAATAAATATAAATGCATTTCATAGTCTTCTCATTTCTATCTGCTGATGCTTGTGATTGAAGTAATTAAAGAATTATATCGTAGTTCACGTGACCTCTTTATACACTATTGTTTATTGCAACTGTATACTTTCTGTGAACAAATGTTCTCCATTTTATTTCTTTTCTCGTTGTTTACTGGCCTTATATATTACGTGTGTAGTAAGATTATTAAGTCTCCATTGTGCTAGTTATAAACACCATAGAAACACATCCTCTTGTAAGTGCTACTAATAACTTGTTTATATCAAATAAATGTTAGCAAGTTAGTTAGTTATAGTCACTACAGATAGTTGCAAGTTCGCCTGTCAAGCATTTGAGATAATAGCAAAAATAAGAGTTGTAAGGATACTTTCTTGCATCGTTAAGAAGTTTAAACTTGTCCTATTTTCACATGTATATTGCATATTTATTGTCTATTCGTTCGAATCGAATTGTCAGAAGCTCCACTAATTAGTAAAATAACCAAAAGACTCTTTACATACTCACCTAAAGTTAAATACGTGAAATGTTATTCGAAGGATTTCAGCAATTCTGATCTTCCAGCCTCAGAATACAACTTTATCGATGCGATTAGTGCTAAATCATTCCAAGTATATTATGCTTTTAAAACCGTCCAGTTTTGGGATCAAAATAAGCAACTAAGGGTCTTCAAACATTTCGATATATAAATATGGGATCGTATTGTAAATATATATCAAGATTGACCACGAGCTTACATCAGTTAGATAACCGGTGGGACACTTGGGAGTACTGGGCAGCTGTCTCACCCTAATGTGAAACTCTTCATCAGTACGCACCCACTGGGGTTTGAAACCAGGACCTTCTGGTTGTGAGGCGAGCTCGCAGACAATTCGACCACCGGCAGCTGAACCAATACTTCGTTAATTCCAACTTCGGCTAACTTCCACCATCCTAGCCATTCCCATGAAAAGTATTCTTCCCTGCTGTCTTTGCTCCCAAAATAACTACACTGAAAGGCACTTCACAAATAAGTACAGCTTTTCTTCTCAATATTTTTGTTTCTGTGACTTTATAATAGTTTATTGAAGGCTTTACAGATGTGGAACAAAGCAGCTTATGGCCAATAAAAGACAAGTCTTTAGAAAATAGTCGAGTGTTACTTTCTACATGTTGTCAGATTCAAGTTTTATGAAAAGAGGTGCGAAATTTTACTAGTGTGCATTATGTGCAAAAACAGTGCGCTAAATACAAATACTCTATTGAAGATTTCACTTGTTCCTCATACATTATTAAGGATTAACAACCCTTGATGGGAATAAAACTACATAGAGCACTAGTTTCTTGTTAGCATTCTTACCCTACCGTGAAGTTTGGACTAACAGTTTTTTCTTAATTATTGCTTTTGTTTTACAGAGCATATCGGAAATCTAGGCATTTCACACATGCCTAGTCTTATGGCTGGTAAGTGCATAACTACATACTCAAAAGTATTTTATCAGATCGTGACTTCTTAACTAAAATCTTTTCGTGTAGATTTCCCTGTTCAAAGTAAATTGACTTCGACACTGTGTATTGCTAAATCAAACTACCTTGTTTAATTTTTCAAAGATTCATTTAAATTCGGTAAAGGAGATACAGTTGTTCCAGTTTGCCTGTGATAACTTGAAAATATTTATGCGAAAAATTAATCAGGCTACTTGAAAGTAGTGCGGTATCATTGTTGTAAAATGAAGTGCGAAGGTTTTTGGAGCACTGATTAGTTTGAATGCGTTATTTATTTTTTTTTACATGCGGTGTAGATTTTTGACATCAACATTTTATCGCAGTTACTGGATGAAACGAAAGACAGTTGCATAGATAGACTGAATAGACAATATAGTCATGAGTATAACCTGAAAGCTGTTGATTCATCAGAAGCTTAGGAAATGCGAGTTTAGAGTGGAGTAACTTACGTAAGGAAAAAGGAAGAATGAAATGAAATTATGCTGCTGACAATCGCATTATTCTGTGGAAATTTATATATAACTCCACTGATTACTGTTATACTGTGTTCTCAAAATCAGTTTACAATGAATAAATATACAGATTGGTTGGTTACAGGATTTCATCATGAGCTGACATTGGTTAGAGAACCAATTGGAAAATCTGGGACTACTGAACAACTGTTTCGTCCTAGTTTGGTACTCTTCATCAGCACGCACCCACCACCAGGGTTCGAACCCAGGACCTTCTGGTTACAAGGCCACCGAGCTCGTAGGTCATTAAGCCACTGGGACCCGCTGATCCAATGGCCAGTCCATTTATAACTTCTACCAATTCACGATATAGCGCGACCACCAGTCAATGTCTTCGGCGAGTATTTGTCCTCACACTCGACCGGCTGCCCCCTACTGGTCACAACTTCCCACTAGAACCCTAGGTGACTACCTACCTGAATAGGGCCAATGTCAGCTCATGATGAAATCCTTTAACCAATCAACCAAATCCCTACAAACCAATACTTGGATACAGATTGGTGTTGCCATATGGTACACATCTTTTTCGTTAATTTTCCATCCTTTTTCGAATATTCCTTGTCGACGTCCACACTGTGACCGAATGTATAAAGTATCTGAGCATGTCAGTGTTTATAAATACACCTGTTGACACTTTTACCTCAGTATTTTTTTAAAAATTACTGTAGCAACACTGGACTATTTGACTTCCAACATGTTAGTGTGATCCAGCTGTAACTATCATATCTTACTTCTAATAAAATTTACAGCAATAATCGATAAACTTGTTAATATTAAGTAAGCATATCATATACCTATTTCCCAGTCAAATCATTTAATGAATATTTACTGGTTTCTGTGTAAAGTTGAGTAGATTTCATCAGTTATCCTCTTAGTTGTCAGTAGTAGGGAGCAGCCAAATAGTCAAATTCATAAAGTAATTTATCTTTAGGCCTGAAATGTTAACATTTGTGTTACTATGTAGGTATGAATATTAACAGTAAGTTGTCAAAGATTCCCTATCACTGTATAATCTTTGAAATAAATATATATCTTGTACGAAATTACTTACTACTAAGTTCTTTAATTACATTACAGTAAAATTTGATCGATGTGTACAATCTCCACATTGTTCAATCAAACTAGATTTAGAAGCATTTTAGTTTTTGAACATATACATAGTTTAAGTTTGAAAGTACTACCAAAACATGTTTTCTCTGATGTTTTTGGGAACACTTCCTTGACATGCTTACTGAGCAAGAAACAGTATGTTAAATCATCAAAAGGTAAAGCAAGCTGAGAGTTCAAATAGATATTCGAATCAAGAATTTCACAGTAACGACATCACTCTGTGAGAGACTAACTGGATATTTTAATTGACGGAAAATACCCATCCAGACATGAATATAAGAACAACAAAGTTCAGCGAAGAATCATTCTCTTTTCGCTGGCGAATTCATTCACTTAGCTGTACAATCGCATTTATATATAATTATTTTGTGTGTGTGTGTGTGTATACGTACATTCGGATTGTCAAACAGAAATAAAATAAAAATTAGTTAGGGTTTACTGTTTACGTCATCAAAATGTTTCTAAAATGTGATGAATAATCAAATTGTAACTACTGAGGGGTGGAGGCGGGTGAAGGTTGGTAAGTATTGACAAGGGTTGCGTATTATGAAATAGGGTGTTGATGGTGACATGTGCCCAAAGAATAAATTACGTAATAGCTAGTAAGAGTAAATGAAGTTTTATAGGATTTCATCATAAGCTGACATTAGTTAGAGAACCATTGGAAAACCTTCAAGGAGTACTGGACAGCTGTCTCGTTAGCCTAGTTTGGGACTCTTCATCAGTACGCACCCACCACCAGGGTTCGACCCCACGACCTTCTGGTTACAAGGCCACCGAGCTCGTAGGTCATTAAGCCACTGGGACTCGATCCAATGGCCCATGAATTCCAACTTCTGTCAATTCACGACGTAGCGCGACCCCTGGACAATGTCTTCGGCGAGTATTTGTCCTCACACGCGACCTGCTGCACCCTACTGGTCACGATTTTTCACTAGAATCCCGGGTAACTACAAACCTGAAAAGGGCAATTCACTAGTGAGCATCTCATTGTTATTCAAATGTTGGTTAGGTAGGTAGTTACCTGGGGTTCTAGTGGGAAGTTGTGACCAGTAGGGGGCAGCCGGTCGAGTGTGAGGACAAATACTCGCCGAAGACATTGACTGGTGGTCGCGCTATATCGTGAATTGGTAGAAGTTATAAATGGACTGGCCATTGGATCAGCGGGTCCCAGTGGCTTAATGACCTACGAGCTCGGTGGCCTTGTAACCAGAAGGTCCTGGGTTCGAACCCTGGTGGTGGGTGCGTGCTGATGAAGAGTACCAAACTAGGACGAAACAGTTGTTCAGTAGTCCCAGATTTTCCAATTGGTTCTCTAACCAATGTCAGCTCATGATGAAATCCTGTAACCAATCAAATCCCTACAAACCAACACTTGAAAAATAAAGTTTTAGTTAAGCAGATGCCATACAAAAAGCAAAAATGAGAAGAAAACATTAACAACGTCGTAAAACTTGAAGTTACACCCAAGGTAGTAGGAGAGAATAGAGAAGTTTCTTCTGTGTGTATAAATCAGGGTTTTCTATCCGTATCACTAAGGTCTCGGCAATGCAAAGTATACGGAAGCTTACCGTTTTCGGGAGGCTTCAAATGTACACACACACAAATTAAGTATATATAAATGCGATTGTACAACTAAGTGAATGAATTATCCGAGAAGAGACTGATTCTTCACTGAACTTTGTTCTTCTTATATTTATAACTGTAATTTGTATCCAATATTTTTTATGCTTATTGTTGTATGGATATCACTGCATGAGTTTGTTAGTAAACACTAACTAATATATTAAATTATGATTGGATCATCTAAAATCATGTATGAATGTGCTGATAGTTTTGTGTTTAGTGCATGTTAATTCGTAGTTTCTCAGTTGACCAATCACTGTCGTTTAGCCTTGAAAAGCTAACACGTTTTACTTTAATTCATGTCCAGTTGAAACAATACAATACTTATGGTGCTGTGACTACTTTACAGAGAGATAGATGACTTGTTTTTAATGAGATTGTTTTTTCTTATTTAATGTGGATCTTTACAATATTATGTCAACATACATATATTTCTTTGATATTGGATCATTTACACAAACATGTGTATTCGGTTAGTAGTTATTTTATGGCATTTAAGTTGTATTTTTAAAACATTTTAAAATAAATCTAAACTGAATGTTATTGTACATGTAACGGCTTTGAAATAAAGTAGAGTAGGCTGGGTTACTTATTTTTTTTGTATAACTTAGGGTCGAGTGCTGGACATGACATGTTAGCGGATACAGAAAAAGATTTATATTACCTATGCACAGAAGTCTACAGGAACTATATCAGTTTCAGATGATTGTTTCACATCAGCTTTACAATACCTGTGCACTGCTTATAATTTGTTGATTCCTAATCTAAAGCTAAGGAGCGAAGGTGTTGACTACTTCACTTATACATGAAGTTGCACCAGTCCGAATGAACTGATTACGTAGGAAATCTCAACATGGATACCAGAGGCTTGTATGGCATTTATCAACTTGCTTGATGCCTGTTTGGCTATCGATCGTAGGAAGTGTGCACTGCTCAGCAGTTCATTCTCTCTTCCTTTATTGCTGTGAGACGGGGCTGTTGAAAATGGAAGAACTGATGAGGCTAACTGTCTTTGAGGTTAGGCGTAGTGTTGCGTAAGTAGGGCAAGTCAACCAATGTGATTGCCACCAAGGTGTAACAATTAAAATGGCTGCAACATGTATGACGTATGCCAAGTTATCACCTTCGTCCACAATGTTAGCTAAGGATAGGATTGGGTTGGAAAAGAATAGTGTGTGTGACCAAATAAAAGCAAGCACCAGTCTATAAATTCTTCGACGATTGGTTTGGATGACGTAGGATGGTGTAATCTGCTTGTTTGGGATCATCGAGATACTGGAGACTGTTGGTAACATGGCTCAAAATCGTTCTCAGCAGCCTAGGTGTATTCACTTTTTATGAAATCCTAAGTTGGTCAAATTGTCATTATTCTCCAAATTCTCATTATTCTCCAAATATTTATTATTTCTCCCGTACATTTCTATTCACCATAGTCCCTTTGTATGCTATATGGGGTGTGGCGACTTGAGTTGCTACACTTCTATGTGAAGTTCCACTCTGAAGACTCAGTTAGTCACCACTGATGATTTCTGAAATATTTTGTCTTCGAATAACCGAATTGTCATGGCAACTAAAACCTTCCCTAACATTTACAATCTGAAGTTGTGTTTTTAACATTTTGTGAAACCATTCATACAACTACAATTATAAATTTTCTCGACAGTTATTGGCAGTCACATCCTATTTGCACTTATGTTTGGGTAAATCACTGTTGCATCATATGGTATGATTGTTTATATTTAAAAGAAAAACACCATTTCACTATTAACTATTATTATGTATACGATTGTACAGCTTGATAATAAATTCGTTCGAAAGAGTCTCTTCACTGAATATTGTGTTCTTAATATGTATTATGATGTATGTATCCAGTGGTTACGATACTATAGTAAGAGATGTGTTAAAGCTCACTTACAAGGAAAAAAGAAATCACATCATTACGTCATATGTGAATTAAGTAACAAGTTAGTCGTTCATATCTAGGCAAAACAAAGCAGGGACTCTCTTATTTCATCATCACGGTGTCAGGCTGTGTTGAAAACCCTAAATTCGTAATTAATATGATGAAGAGAGATTAAATTGTTATTAGGTGGTTAGAGGTAATTGTCTGGAAGCCTTGGCCCTAAGTTTTCCTGCTTGTTGCCATGCCCCAGTTAACAAGGCATATCTACAATCTTGAAAGAACTGATTCGAACATGAGTTACCCAGCTAGTGTAGTTAGAGACGTTACCACTGAGCTATTCAGACTCGTGATTGACCTGCTGTAGAACTGTATTGGATACTCTGATTGGACATTAAATGGTGGCATGCGTCTAGTTCTCTGTTTGGTTTAGTCTGAATTCTATCAGTCTACAGAGGACTAGACACATGACACTAATTATTGTCCAATCAGCGAGAATTAAGTTTTTGCAGTCGGAAATAAATATAGATTTAAATAAACACCTTAGCTTGAAAATCAATCTCACTGAGTACATTTTGTTTTAGTCTGTGGATAATATTGATTGTGATTCTTGTCTCATATATTTGTATTGAAGCTATTAGCATTTAATATTCATGAACACATTTCTTCATGTTTTTCATTGAATTGAAGTTAAGTTGATGTTATATATATGTAAACTTAGTTAATTGTTTTAATTTACTTATTTACACTTCATGTGCTAATTTGTTTTTGTATTCAACAGCAGTGAAAGCAACATCAACTTTGTGTATTTTATGGAGGTGGGTAATTGTTTTTTTTTAAATTTAATTTATTTATAATTAATATGCAATCTGTTTAGTTAATCATTAATTTATCAGGAATGTGAATTGTGTTCAGTTTTTTGCCGTTGAAATAATATTGCATGTACATGATAAGTGTTGGTTTGTAGGGATTTAATTGGTTACAGGATTTCATCATGAGCTGACATTGGTTAGAGAACCAAGTGGAAAACCTGGGATTACTGGACAGCTGTTTCGTCCTAGTTTGGTACTCTTCATCAGTACGCACCCACACTGCGGGGTTCGAACCCAGAACCTTCTGAATTGTTGATGTTAGATGGTTGGAGGCAATCAGTCACAGGAAGCCTTCCAATTAGGTTTCGTGATAGTTGGCACTCACCAGTCAGCAAGGCGTATCTGAAACCTTGAAGGAACTCATGTCTCTTCTGAGATTCTAACCCGCGTCACCCAGCACTGCCTGTAGTCAGAAACATCACACTAGTTACTAGTGTCTAATAAAAGAATCTGACTGAATATTACTTAGTGAATCTACCTAATGATAACGTCAACAATTAATTATCAAATAGGGTTTAAACTCTTCTCAGGTGTAGTACATATTGTGTCACTTGAATAAGTTTGATTACCCTTAACTTTATGTCTTATGATTATCTTTTTCTAGTTCTGAACTATTTCTCATTCTTTCCAAATAATGTTATTCAGAGAAACTCCATCATATACCTTTTTGAGTATGGTAACTATTTGGATAGCTTAACTGTATCCCTTAGAGATTACTCACAGTTAATGGTTGTTTATGTTAATAGGAATCTGACTGATACTAGCCACCGTTCACCAAAAATAATCTGCATTACTAACTTTGATGCTAACCAGATCGTTTTACTTTTCTCCAGTGAGATTTACTCGCTTCACGTATTTGACAGTCATGCATTTCATGGTGTGCTAATAAGTTTTTTATGTCTTCTGTGAATCAGTCAGTCGAAAATAACAAAATACTAACGCAATCCTTTTGTGTAGTGTCAAATTCTTTAAGTATATTGTGTAAAGTAGTGTGAACCATCGCGCGTTGGCGACCAACAAATCCAGCGAGGAAGTCGATGTCTGAGAAGTGTTTGCTCATCAAAGTATTCTCATCATCACAGGACAAAAAGAAGGTTTACTACTTGCATTTCTGAATATATCCCAAAGAACTTGAGAATAAAGGAGACTTAACTGTTAAACAGTGTAACCTGACTGACTGACTGACTGACTAGTTTTAACATAGAACTTTGCTCAGACGTGCAACAGTTCGAATTATCACACTCCCTTTAGCACACAATGCAAGAGAAGAGAATAAAGAAAGTTTCAAAAACGAGATAATGAACGGAATTGTGAGGGAGGAAGAAAAGTAATTTGAAAGAACGGTAGAACTTTACTGGATATTATAAATCACAAGAAGTGAATGCATCTTTGCCAGCTATTGACAACGAGGATTTTCAACCATATCACGAATTGTCTCCAGCCCTCCTGGGATTTCACCATCCCGAGGACTCTAACCAGGAAGTCTAGATCCCCCTGCGTTTGCGTCGGTGGCACAGTGGTTAGGACTCTCGCCGACTATGCACATGGCCCGAGGTTCGATCCCCTGTCGACGCACACCTGATATCTATGGTCGGCCTGAGAAATTCGGGTTACCGATATCCATGCTGAAAATTCCATACTTTTACCAAAAATACAGTGTGGAATCAAGCTGTAATCCAAAATAAAAAAAACTAACTGCTGTGGATTTAATTGATTGATGAGGCCATGTCTTGGCTTGACCACCATTAGCTCTTTTCCATCCTGATGCATCATATGTCAGCCAACATTGTCCGTCGAGGAAGGCGATGGCTAGGCATGCGTAACACGTGTCCTAATCATGCCTCTCAATCGATGTAACTGCATAGCCTTGTCGATTGATTTCCCCTCCTTAACAACAGTATAACCACACTCCACCTGATGGGTACCAGACGTATTTATAGCAGCCTGAATTCATTCAAAATAATAAACAGACAAAAGAAACCCAGACTATGACGTTTTTGCTAGAGCGAACAGCTAAATCAAAATCACTCCATTTTGGATAAGATTTTATTTTAATAAATCACACAGTGTTGTACAGTAATATTAACTGATGACGTTTCGAGCACAAACTATTGCTCTTAATCATGTCATCAGTTAAATATTACTGTACAACACTGTGTGACTTTATCAAAATAAAATCCTATCCATAATGGACTTACGCTCTACCACAGTGCCCGAGTTTTATACTTATATCAATAAATCAAAATCAATCTACTCAGAAGACAATCGTCAGCCTCACACTGCTTTGGTAGTTATGCTTACAAAACAGAATTATACAATTCTATTACATCATGTAGTTTTTTATGTCGTCTATTCTCTTTTAGATTACCTTTCTCGTCCGAGCACCACTCATCTCACTCTTGAATGATTTTCATACGTCTTTTCTTATCGTTTAAAGTTGTTTGGTCAATAATTTGATAAAAGCTACATACGTATCCCTCTATATGTGTAAGTAATTCGCTCATACTAAGTAGGTGTTAACCGCATTATGGAGATTGCAACAGAATTTCACACCGCAACTACACACAAAAGAGGATTCAAAGTCTACTAGACATCTTGATGTAGAGTAATATTATTACTATAATTAAAACTATATATACCATACATTTACTTATTGTTACAAACGTACTGTTTCATATCAGCAGTTGTGTAGGAAAGAATAGAAAGGAAATATTTTGAAGACCGTTTCACATGATACACTTGTAAATTTTCTCTGTCAGACTTTTCAGCGTAAATTAATATATATATATATATATATATATATATATATATATATATATATATATATATATATATAAATGCCTGTTCTTTTATTCATCTGTTACTCATTTACAGTGCATATATGCTAGCAAGAACACGGTTGTTTACTAAACGGGATTCAGATATTGACAATGAAATTGATCGTAAAAAGGTGAAGTATGAACACAATCCCGAATCAGAAATTATTGCAGCATGCAGCGATTATCCTCCGGGCAACCAAATAGATAATCACAGTCTAGTAAGCTAACTTGCTGCATAATATAGATAGACGCTGGATTTATAAATGTATTAAGAACACAATTTTCAGCGAAGAGACTCTTTTCAACGAATTTATTATCAAGCTGTACAATCGTATATATATGGTTTTATAAAGAAATTATATCCGGTGAGGGAATTAGGTCAAAGGTGTAAATACATGAAATAATAATAGTATGAAATAAATTTAAAATATTTGTGATTAGGTTCATAGTTTAAGTCAAGTGGAACAATAATTAATGTCATATATAAGATAATACATCAGGTGTATAGATTTTGGGGAGAGGCATATAATTGTAAGATTAATAGACGACTTTTTATCTTTATTTTTACAATAGTAAATTCTATGTTATCAAATTTCACACCATGTTACGTAACTTTTTACATTCGTCTATTAATCTTACAATTATATGCCTCTCCCCAAAATCTATACACCTGATGTATTATCTTATATATGACATTAATTATTGTTCCACTTGACTTAAACTATGAACCTAATCACAAATATTTTAAATTTATTTCATACTATTATTATTTCATGTATTTACACCTTTGACCTAATTCCCTCACCGGATATAATTTCTTTATAAAACCATATATATACGATTGTACAGCTTGATAATAAATTCGTTGAAAAGAGTCTCTTCGCTGAAAATTGTGTTCTTAATGCTACAATGGGAAATATTAAATTATTATAAATGTATTCACATTTTATATTTTATTTCATGTTTCATTTGTCCTATCCAACGACATAATAAAACAGAATTTCTGTTTAGCTATCTGTTGAAACTGAAAACTATCTATGCTATTTAAAAAAAATAATGAATTCATTTCTTGTGGATTTTGTTACTGGTGTTTAAATTTGCCAAAATGTGTGTTATTTGTGCGATAGTGACCAGAGGTGACTGAGATTGAAAGGAACTAGAAGGGGTCTCTTGATGATCATTCACAGATATGATATCCTTCAAGGAGCTAGACATCTTGGTGGGAACCTTTTACGGCGACACATAAATATACATACTTCAGTACCTTGATGTTGTTATTTTCTCTAATCTGGGTGACTTTATTGAAAAGCTTTCATTGGCCTTCAAGACAACGTCTTCACCACAAACTTCAATATGAAGTGAACTTGATTGAAGTCTCCAGAAATTGTATAATTGTATCTTCTGACAACCTTTGTCGTGATTGGTTATTAATTTGAATCGCTTTTATTAAAGTAAAATTTGACTTTTCTGTTATGTAGCTAGTTCCTTATTAACTGATAAACTTGATCTATAGTATTGTCGGTTAATCGCCAATCTGTCTGAGTATCAGGCGTCTGGGAATTCCCTGGCATTTGTGATGTTTCTCCTGTTTACAACTTCGACATTTCCCAATCGTCATATTGGTGTTCATATTTGTCTACGTGCATCGATATGAAAGAATACATATCGTGTCTTTTGATAGTTAGTTTATGTTCTTGGTTTTGGAGTCGAAGGAGGTGGGGAGGATGCCCACTTTGATTGTCAATTCAGTGCTTATCACGGTCAATGCAGTTTATATTGTAGATGGTGTTAATCTTGTCTTCTTTTGCCGCTAGGTATGCATGCTACTATTGAATGAAGTGATTGTGTTGGTTTTTGTGATATATTTATTTCCAATGATTCAAGTAGCTTAGCTGTTATTCCAGAAACGTTCTTTATTTATACATACATAGTAGGATGAATTTTCTTGTGGCTTCTGAGGCTGGCTTCTTGTTGATAGTTTGATTTGAGTTCAGGCATTTTTTATGAATGCGGTCATATCAGAATCATCCACCTGAGCTAGAAATTTTCCTTATTATTTCAGAATACCTCAGTATATAAGCAGCTGAGAAATATCATAAGACTTCAGATATTAAGTGAAGGTAGAAAAGATGGATTTTTGCACTATTATTGTGACAAAGTATCCGAAGCGTGGTGTTGTTTAGTTGAAAAGAGGATTATGGAAACTCATTTGCTTTTTGTTCACTTACTTAATAGTGTAAATCCAGATGAATTGTGTGTCATTAAGACGTATGCGGAATTGTAGTTCCTTAATGTGGTTTAGAAACAGTTTTATTTCAGTTATAAGAATACTCATGAAAATTGTTTTTATCACTTTCACAATTTTATGTTTATGTCTTGTGATTATAATATATGAACAATGCAACTCGACCGCTTAATACCAGTTTATGTAGTGCTGTGTTCTCCAGGTCAGAGTAGATAGATTGGTGGGGGGGGAGGGGGGGTTAAATTCCATACCTGTAAGTTGAAAATATGGCGCCTATTCCAATTACTTATATCTCCACACACTTGTATTGCTTAAAATGTTCTTACGCTTGTCATATGAATGAACATCAATTAATCAACAAACCATATAGAATACGGTGATCCATCTAATTCACTATTACGTAATCATTAATTGTGTGCGTGTGTGTGCGAGGCGTAATAAGGATTTTATAGAACTGCTGATCATCGGTTCTTTTATTCTACTTCTAATCAATGCGTCAAGGCTTAGGAAGTCAACCCACTTTTGATATTTGCATAGATAAGTGGTATCATGTATCCTTACACATTTGGTACACATCACTGCCAAGTTCACTTGATGATCAGTGAATGAAGAAATTGTTGTTGGATGTCGAGAATGACTAACACTGGTTAGTGTAAATAAAACTATAATTCATGACTTACTTTTAAACAATTGTTCAACAATAATATAATAATAATACTCCCTCGCATAATCGATTTAGATTAAGAAGTAGTGCACTTCTATTTTCAACAGACTATAATAACTTTGTCATTCAATGAGAATAACAGTTAGGTAGATTGTTCGACCCAATAGCTAAACGCCATGCTGTTAACGCAAATCACAGTTATTGCATGTCTATCGACTAACATACAATTGACATTGAACTGACTGCCTTTTTATTGGCTATAAGGAAGGTGTTAAGTAATTTCCTCGTGACGTTTTTCTCCCCCTTGTGATTCAAGTTGTTTTTTCTTTTTTTGTCATATAAGAATAATTATTTGATCTATCTAGCGTCTTCTCCTTTTTTTTGTTTCTCTCTTTTTTCTTTCCTTCTCTTATTTCCATTTTGATATTTATCACTTGACCTATGCGGCGGTGGCGGGCTGGTGGGGCGAATAGTCATCCTTATCATTTCTTAAAGACAGTATTTTTATCCGTAATGGAGTGAATATTTTATATGGATTAGTCTATGGTAGTAAAAAGACTGATGACACAAATGCTAATTATGACAGTTCAACAAATCCGAATAAAATGATCACAGAAAGTAAGAATGGCCTACTAACTACTGAAGAATCGTGTTCAGATGAATTAAATTTCTTCTATCAAATGGTGTGCAGTTTATGTGTCAAGGTGAGTTGTGTGTCTTTATTTTCTCGCTTAAAATTATCTCTTTTTAATTCTATTTGTTTTTATATGCCCCAAACCAAGTTCACTTTTAACAGTTTGAAAAAATTATTTGGGCATTGGGTATATGATATTCATTATTATTAAAAAAAATATCTCGTATTTCCCAATGAATGAGAAACAAAACGATACTGTTGTTTTGACTGACGCTTCGCTGTTTAGTGCTGCTGTTAACAGCTTCATGAAACCATTATTATTAAATCAGAATTTACAAAATCTCAAACCAAGTCTAATTCTGTTTAAGTTCATCATTCGTATTCAGACAATGTGGATTCCATTTGATATGAGGTGCTGGCTTCTGATGATATGTGACGTTCTTTATGATTTTTTAAAATTTTTCTGGATTATTTCAAGATTGTCAAAATCAATTTTGTGATCTGATTTTATAGCATAGTGTATAGATGACCTATGGCTGGTGATTTTTCCAGCTTTTCTAGTTCACTAACTGGATTTCTCGGTGGTTGAACAGAGGCGGCTCTAGGGTGTTCGTTTCTTCTGATTTTGATTCCTCCCTGGCGATGTTTGTCCGTTGTATATCGCATTTCAATTGAGAATCTCTAGGGATTTGATGTTTTACATGGATGAGGTTGCTTTGTAGTGTGTGTGATGTTTTTTAAGAAAGCTCTGATTTCGTGTTTATTGAGTATTCTTCTGATGTCGTTGATGAAGTTCTTTGTGTAGTTATTTTTCCTGAGAGTTTCAGTAATGTTTGATATTTCTTCCTCTTTTTCCTTCTCATCTGTTGCCAAAATGGGTACTTGTCTACGAAGACTTCAAACAACTGATACTTTTGCGCTGATGGGGTGTGATGATCCGAAGTTTAAATATTTGTTGGAGTGGGTTTTCTTCCTGAATATAAATATATTAAAATACCCGTTTTCCCTCTTCTTAACTCAGCAGTATAGAAATGGAAGTTCACTGACGCCTGATTCTGCTTCCGAAGTAAACTGGATGTTGGGAGATAGACTGTTCAGTTTCTCCAAGAATGAACTTTGTAGATTTCATTTTAGCACTACAAAAGTATCATCAATGTATCTTAACCATATTTTAGGCGTGAGTATGCTTGAAAAGACGTTATCTTCGAATCTCTTCATAAAAATATCAGCCACTACTGGGGAAACTGTTGAACCCATAGCAACACCTTTAGATGTTTAATAATTACTTTCTAGACAGAATTTCAAGCTCTTAATTATTTCACTGGTGTCCAGTGGACATCTTCGTGATAGGGTTGTATCTGATTCTAGTAAACTGAAAATGATATCAAAACTTTCGGTAATGGGAATACTAGTATATAATAAGTGGTAATATCATGGTTTACCATAATATCTTCTTGATCAATTTCTCGGTGTTTTATTTTGGATTTGAATTCATGTGAATCTTTTATAACATTTTGAGTGTCCTTTTATACACTTATCAAATTCAACAGTCTACATTTCGCTTTGTTATCTTGACCAATTGACCAACTTGACAACGTGAAAATCACCCCATACTGATGAATGATGACGATTAAGTTGTTATATATAAGCTGAGATTTCGCAAATTCTGGTTTAATAATAATGCTTTCATGAAGCTATTAGCAGCTGCAGCACTGAACAGCGAAACGTCAGTGAAAACAAGAATGTCGTTTTGTTTTTCATTCATTGGGAAATACAAAAAACTCCTTATTTTTGTTATAAAGATGAAATAAAATAAGGGGAACACATATTTTAATTTATTTTGTTATTTCATGTCAGGTTTTCCTCCCATTTAGAACCGTTCACATCATGTCATTCCTGTGCGGTCCCAATGACACATAGGGCTTCAAGCTTTAAGCTTAAATCTTTCGCTAGAAGTGGTGATTTTACGTGGTGAGATTTCTGGCCTCACGTCCAACCTCTCCTCTTTTACTGGAGTAATTATCGGTTGAGTGGTGGTAAAGAGTGCCTCGGGCGAGAATCACCCCTACACCTGCTCCTGAATCACCAGCTCACGAACTACTCAAATCAGGGCTATTAAACCTTTTATTACATTTTATGAAAAACGTATGATGTTCTTCATTTTGGAGGGATACAGACACAGGAGAGAGATGCTTATATCTTCTGGATACTTGTTATTATATCTTTGTTGCATAAGTTTCTGTGTGGAAATACATCTAATGGGGAAGTCTCGATAACATTTAATGATAGATATTGATGATACATGTTATGCATTGTATACGTCATTGCTTGCTGTTATCTGAAGGATAATGAGGTTAAGAGTAATAAGCAGTAGATAGACTCAGAGTTGATATTATCAACGCTTGGTACAAACTGCATTTCTAAGCTAAGTGGCGTGACGTGACTGTACTTGTCGAAAGCGGTTGTCAGCAAGCATCATGCGTGAATGTATTAGTCTTCATGTTGGTCAAGCGGGTGTCCAGATGGGCGATTCGTGTTGGGAGTTGTATTGTCTGAAGCACGGGATTGAGCCAAATGGGCGAGTGCTGGTTGACTCGACAATTTCGACGAGTGGAAGTGGAAATGACGCCTTCAGTACATTCTTCAGTGAGACGGGTTCCGGTCACTATGTTCCACGCGCAGTGTTTGTGGATCTTGAACCGACGGTGGTTGATGGTTTACGCCATGGGAAGTACAAGCAGTTATTCCACCCGAAGCAGATGATTACTGGTAGGGAGGATGCGGCGAATAACTATGCGCGTGGGCACTACACGGTGGGCAAGGAGCTGGTGGACGAAGTGTTGGATCGGATACGGAAGCTGTCGGAGAGATGCACTGGTCTTCAAGGCTTTCTTATATTCCATTCGTTTGGAGGTGGTACTGGTTCAGGTTTCACATCGTTACTGATGGAACGACTGTCGGTGGATTTTGCGAAGAAGGCGAAACTGGAGTTCGCAGTATATCCCGCTCCACACATCTCTACAGCTGTTGTTGAGCCGTATAACTCAGTCCTGACGACTCATACGACGTTGGAGCACTCAGATTGTGCTTTCATGGTGAACAACGAGGCGATTTACGAGATAATACCTGTGGACCAATCAGGCGATGTTAGAATAACTGAAAACCTGTTTATTAGTGGGATCCCTAAATCCACAACTATTGGTCAACTAAAAGGTTATCTTCCTGATAACTGTCAGCCTATCGACTTTAGACTGTTAAATAGGAATCCACATTACAACAGCGTGGTTATGGCATTCTCCTCCATCGAAGCCGCCACAAAGGTCTATGAGCTGCTCCGTTCTTTGAAGCTAGGAGATCGGTATATGAGGGTCTCCTTTACTGACTATATGGCTCAAAAAAGTTATGATCTCTGCCCAACAATCGTGGTTCCCAACTTCACTGCTAATCCTGATCGTTTACGCCAGTTATTCCCAACTTCCATCGATGTTCGACTAGATCGTGAGAGAAGGAAAGCCTATGTCAAGTTCCCCTCACTGGAAGTCAGACAGGCGTCACATGTTAGGTATCATCTGTCAAAGATCTTAGCTGAAAAATCCACCCATGTGATGACAGACGAATTCTATCATCATTATGATATTCACTCCTCTCCTGCTAATTAATCTCTGTGTTGTGAGAAAAATCGACTTGCGCGTATCTTTTTCATCTCGCTAACTACCTTTTTTATTTTGGTAGATGCTTGTCATTGTTGTTTACCAATGTCTTGCTTGTCATTGTTTATCACTACCCGAAGATGCATAGTCTTTGGAAGAAAAGTAAGTGTTTTGCGTGCGCTGATGATGACACAGTATTAGAATGCTCGCTAACCACGCCTCATGTGGTTCGGGGTTTGATCCCCGACCACCGACGCATTCCTTTACCTTACTAAGCCCGTAATACGACTGATAGAGAGGGAAGGTTAGGTAGGCAGGAGGCTAGCAACCGCATCCTGTAAAAATAAACACCACTACTACTGTTCATAAGAAAAAAATTCCCTTGCTATCGAAAGTCTCTGGTTAGTTATGTAGTACCATTATCTACCGAACTAGTTTTTTGTTCTTTCTCTTGTTTCTATTCTAGTGGACATTGTTCGTTTTTGTATATATTTTTCTTGATCGTAAAGAGAAAATAATTACTCTCTACATTTTACGTCATTCATCCTGGCAAAATGAAATTATATGTATATGATTGTCTGGCATAAACTTTGTTCTCTATAGTAAAATCGTTTATTGTCCAATAATAATACTAATTTATGCGCTAGTCAGACTTCTTTTTCTTTTTAGTGTTTTATTATTATCATCACTGTTGTTGTTGATCTTAGAAATTGATTTTGTGAAGTAAACCAAAGTAAACCAGTTGTAACGTGCTACTGCACACTAAGGTATTCATGCGCTGTTGTTAAATATTTCTTAAATAATGGAATTTATTATAGCTTATAAAAAAGGCTGTGTCCATTTCATTCTATGAAGCTTTACACTGTTTTGTATGTATGTGTGTGTGTGTGAACGCGTTCCAGGTACTCGTAATGATTCTGTAATATAGAATTGTTTTATTGTTAAATATTTGGACATAATCAGCTGGAAGCCTTCGCAACAAAGTTATGTGTTATGTTGTCCTCACTCACCAGTCAGCAAGGCGTATCTTCAATCTTGAAGGAACTAATGTCCCCTTCTGAGGGTCGAATCCAGGTCACCCAGTGTTGTGTTCACAGACAGCTTCCTGCTGTTCACCTCCCAAACATGATGCGGAGCAGCTTAGCATGGTGACCTTGGTGTTGCATCGTTGGATGCTGTTTTTCTTGTTGTATCCACTATCGCCTGCTTAATTTCGTCCAGTTTATATTTGATTTGATATGTTCATTCCCTGAAGTATTTCTCTACGTTACTTTTCTGTCAATAAACAGTGCTAAAACAAACATATAAATCAGTTTTCAATAATTAGTTTGTAGGGATTATATTTGTTTCAGGTTAAACCACAGATTGATTTCAGTTGGAAAACCATTGAAAGCCAGGGAGTACTGGACAGTTGTTTCGT